GATGAAACAGAATAAAGTTATTTTATGTCTTTTGTTTGCATTTCATTACTTTATACACTTAGGCTTGACTCCCAGTACCAGCATTGCTGTTGGTGGGGTGGGGGGGGGTAGACCAGGTGACAGAGCAGGAGGTAATTTAGAGAAGAGAGCAGTGCTTGAGCAGACACCTGTGACTAATGCAGTTTCAGGGAGCTGCCTTATAAACTTAGGAAGCTGGTATCCAGCCTGGATTACAGAGAGCTTTTGATTCCATGGCATGGTAAATCACTGAAAGAAAGCCAAATTTAAAAAGCCAACTTTATTCTTATAAATTGTTCTCTGTACTTCATTTTATTCACCCAAATTGTTAAAAACAAAACAATATTGAACCAGCTAATCAAACTTAGTGAACCCTCTCCAAACAACCCAGAATCAGCCCTGCCTAGTAGGAAAGGGTAGCATTTATTTGGAAGCAGAGAAATTGGAAAGACACTGGAAAGGGTCCCTTTATGTTATCTTCTTTTTTACTCCCTTGGAGTGTGTGAAACATGTAAAAAGAATACAGAGCCCCAGTTTTTTCCTGGGTCTAAGCTTTAAACTTTGCCTTTATAAAATTAAACACGAAAGATGGTGGATATAGTGGCAACACTCATGTGGACAGAGGTTGCAGTGACCATCTGCTGGTTTAGTTGAGTTTTATGGATGTTCAGTCAGGCCAAGGAGCTCCATGATTGATGTAAAAGTTGGAGGTAGTTGGAGGGAGATGAGCATTTGGAATATAACTGCCCTAAGAGTCAAGGTGTTAAGGAGGGAACAGTTTCTCTCTCGGGTCACTAGGAGAGCATGAGAGGCCTCTGCCCTTTTTCTGGCTACCAGACGCACACCTCCTGACTTTCTAGTTAGGCCAGACCCCAGTGTGTAGACTCAGTAGCATCTTGTAGCATTCCTTGGTACCACTTGTTCTTTCTTTATTTCCCTGTTTTCTTTTCTTTTTTAAAAGCTTGTTTGTCTCTAGTCACACAATAAACTCCATGAGGGCAGAGTCTCAAGTCTCTCTTTACTCAACCATTTTATCTACAGGGCCAGGAGATTGACACAGATACTTATCAAATACCTACCGAATAATGGAACATGACTGAATTGTACACATTTTTTGGATTCACTCTGTGATACAGAGATATACAGCATTACTCCCAACTTACAAATTAAAGTGAGTCTACTTTCCAAGATCCTAGCTGATTTAAAAGGCGGTCCATCAGCATTTGGTCTAATGGATACTGAAGGATTCTGAAGACTACTGCTCACAGAGCAACGAAGCAGAATCGTTGAGCAAGCACTGATATTATAAATCTTTTTTCCCTTCAGATGTTTAATTGGTATAATCCTCATTGTTTTGTGGAATTACAGTTTGGTTTATAAATACTACCTTCTCTTGTTAGAATATATAGTTTTCATCATCTGAGTCCATAGTGGTGACACCGCAGTTCTCAGTATTGCCAAAGCTCCTACCTTTCCTGGTATCAATTTTTACTTCCTCTACCTCATGAAGTGCTGATCAGTCACTGAGAATTCTGAAGTCATTCTCATCCTTGAAGTTTCTAGTTTGTGACGCTTCTTGGTCTTGGTAAAATTTAAGGGGGCAGATATGGATGGAGGTCTTGAGTAAGGATCTCTCATTTTTATGGCTTCCCTAATCTGGCCACAACTCCTCCTATAGTACTGTTCTGTCGTATAGCAGTGATGTAAGGACAGAGCATTATTTGTGCTTGACTGGATTGCTATATTAGTGAACTAGAAGTTTGAGAGAGAACTTGGAGATCTTAATGTTCTTAATTCATTTTTCTATGGAACTGACTACAATGTACATTTATCAGAAATGTAAAGCATGACTGAGCTTTAAGGAATTGTCTTCGTTAAGGCAAGAAGGTAGGCACGAACAAACTTTATTTTTCAGGTAGAGACTACAGATGTAAAATTTTGGAAATAGTGGAGCCTTTGAGAAATACTGGTTTTCTTGACCAGACTGGGAAACATGGTGAAACCCCATCTCTACAAAAAATACAAAAATTAGCTGGGTGTGGTGGCTCCTGCCTGTAGTCCAGCTACTTGGCAGTGGGGGTGGGGCTGAGGTGGGAGGACCTCTTGAGCTCTGGAGGTAGAGGTTGCAGTGTGTGGTGATCATGCGACTACACTCTAGCCTGGGTGATAGAGCAATACCGTGCCTCAAAAACAAAATAAAACAAAACTGGTTTTCCTAGGGTATTTCGTGGGGAGCAGGGAGAATCAAGATGTGTACAGGAAACATAAAAAACTTGGTGGAAGGGACACATGCAATATTAAAGCCCTTTGTAAAAATCTGAAAGTTTTTTCGAATATAGAAACTTATTTTTATTACTTATTTCCATAGTCACGTGAGCCTAGATCATATAACAACATTAAAAATCCATTGGCTAAAGACCAAAAAGAGACTAAGGGCTCGGTTAGATAATGGCAAATGATATGTTGAACTTAAGTTGTTTGAAATATTTTTTAATTCAAAATTTTATTCATAGACTTCAGCTTTTAAGTTTTTTATTACAAATAGACTGGTAAGCAACAGAATTTTTAGGGGACTTTTTTTTTTGCCAGGCTGGGAGGGCTGATTTCTAAGAAGCAGAGAAAAACTTGCGGACAGGAGAAGCCATCTCTGTTACAGTAAAAGAAAGTATTATACTGTTAATGTCCTTCATAACATTAAGCAGATATAAGACCTGTTCTTATTTATTAAAAGAACTGCGAGATAGTAAATTATCAGTTTTTATTTATTTATTTTGGAGACGGAGTCTCACTTTGTAACCCAGGCTGGAGTGCCGTGGTATGATCTCAGCTCCCTGCAGCTTCCACCTCCAGGTTCAAGCGATTCTCCTGCCTCAGCCTCCTGAGTAGGTGGGACTACAGTCACACACCGCCACACCTGGCTGTTTTTTTGTATTTTAGTAGAGACAGGGTTTCACAGTGTTGCCCAGGCTGGTCTCTAACTCCTGAGCTCGGGTAATCCACCTTCCTCAGACTCCCAAAGTGCTGGGATTACAGGCACGAGCCACCACGCCTGGCCATTATCAGTTTTTATTAAAGCTGTCTTTCTCCTATTGAACAATGAGTTGAGTTTACTGAGGGCCAGAATCCTTTTGCTCATATCAGCTTTGCTCCTGCCTAGCATATAATAGTTGCTCAATATATTTTTATATATTCAATTAAATGAATAATTTGGCTTTAGATTATTCTTTCAGCTTAAAATATTGTCTGGTCTTATTTGTCAGGAATTCTGACCACCTTATTACCACCATATTTTCCGTAGTGCCTCATAGCTGGTACTCTGGGTAGTCTGCAGATTCAAGGATTAAGCCATAAAGAAACTGAATGAACCAAGTTGCATTATTTTTTTTTTTTTTTTCAGGTGGGCTAGGGAACTGTCTACTGGAGTTGAGACTATTTTTTCCTGCCCTTACATTGGATATTTTTTAAAGCATGAAATATTTTAAATGTACAGAGATCAATATAACGAACCTTTATATACATACGACCCAGCTTTATAAGATTCTAGTAATCTGCCATGCTTGTTACTTTCAAATAAATAACAGAAATTATTCTGGTCTCTTTCCTTAATAACTTCCAGGTAATCATGATGACCTTGGTATTTGTCAGTCTCATTTTTTTCATATTTGTTTTACTTTTGTGGTATACATATATACTTAGCAAAAAAACTATTTTACATGCATATAACTACTTATCTGTTCTTCTGTTTTACGAATTTTAGGTTGTTACTAATTTTTTCTTTACCAAAAAATGAGCATTTCTCTAGGGAGTTTACTGTGAAGAAAAATGGCCAGGTCATAGAGTATGCTGTTTATTCATTTATATGTTCATGCCAAATTGCCCTGAAGTTTTTTTTACTAATTTAAACTCCATCCAATATTGTGTGAAAGTTTGTTTTTCCACACTCTTCAGACTTGACATTAACAGACTCTAAGCATGTTTTTTCAATCTGAAATGTTCTCTCAAGGTTTCCTATCAATCCCATTAACTGCTTTTTCATAGGTGTATTCATTGTTCAAGTTTACTCTTATAAATTGAGCATTATTTGCATATTTATCTTATTTGTGCTGTTAGATTTTTGTTCATTGGATATTGATAGGCATAGTTAATAAGTAAACATGCTCTTTAACAAACTCAGACATCGCCGGCTTGTTATCAGTTCTTTTAGATAGATATCACTAATGTTTTACCCCTCATAAAACTCGGTTCTATAAAAATACGATGAACCTTCCCATATTTGTTGGCCTTTCAGAAATGGCACAACCTAAAGAGTCTAAGTGTTATCAAGAATCTAGGGTAGGCCGGGCGCGGTGGCTCAAGCCTGTAATCCCAGCACTTTGGGAGGCCGAGGCGGGTGGATCACGAGGTCAAGAGATCGAGATCATCCTGGTCAACATGGTGAAACCCCGTCTCTNCTCTACTAAAAATACAAAAATCGGCCGGGCGCGGTGGCTCACGCCTGTAATCCCAGCACTTTGGGAGGCCGAGGCGGGTGGATCACGAGGTCAAGACATCGAGACCATCCTGGTCAACATGGTGAAACCCCGTCTCTACTAAAAACTACAAAAAATTAGCTGGGCATGGTGGCGCGTGCCTGTAATCCCAGCTACTCAGGAGGCTGAGGCAGGAGAATTGCCTGAACCCAGGAGGTTGTGGTGAGCCGAGATCGCGCCATTGCACTCCAGCCTGGGTAACAAGAGCAAAACTCCGTCTCAAAAGAATCTAGGGTAGTGAAATTTGGAGCCCCAGCCAATATGTGTGAATTTCTCACAACATTTTTGCAAGCTATTTTTGATTAAGGGTAATTTGTCACTTAATGACCATAATTAAGTTTAGTGTTCCAGTAGCAGTTTATTGCTAAATGCCCAGTGTGTGTCATATTACAAATTTGAAGAAAAGTGTATTTCCTGCAGTGGTGACTTTTCCTTCTTTTTCTTATTCCCCAGGTTGTATCAGAGTAAGATGGACGGTAGCTTTGATTGTGATTGTGGTGAGCTGGAGCCACCTGATCACTAACAAAAGACATCTGTTAACCAACAGCCGCCAGGGCTTCCTGTTGAAATATATAGTAACAAAGGAAGAAAAGAAGCAAAACGGAAATAGTGCTTACCAGCACCTTAGAACGATGCTGCTCAGGACCAGTCCAACACTGAATGTATCTGCACTGTGAGGAGAATGTTCATAGAAGCCTGTTGTGTGCATATTTATTCACATTTTTGTTAAATGTTAAATCGTTTAGCACAGTAATCTGAGGCATAGTATGTCATTTCATTCCGTTTGAGTTTGAGTGTTTTCTTTAAATGTCTGCAGAGTTGCTGCCCCTTTCTTGAACTATGAGTACTGCAATCTTTTTAATTCTCAATATGAGTAGAGCTTTTTGAGCTTTAAATCTAAGGGGAACTCAACAGGCCTGTTTGGCGTATGCAATGAACATCAAGAAACCATCTTGCTGTGGAAGCATAATTATTTTTCTTCTCCCTTTTTGAAAGATCTTTCCTTTTGATGCCAGTTTTCTTCCTTGTTTACACAAGTTCAACAATTCGAAAGGAAAAGGCAATAGTAAGGGTTTCAAAATGGCAGAGAAATTTGAAAGTCTCATGAACATTCATGGTTTTGATCTGGGTTCTAGGTATATGGACTTAAAACCATTGGGTTGTGGAGGCAATGGCTTGGTTTTTTCTGCTGTAGACAATGACTGTGACAAAAGAGTAGCCATCAAGAAAATTGTCCTTACCGATCCCCAGAGTGTCAAACATGCTCTACGTGAAATCAAAATTATTAGAAGACTTGATCATGATAACATTGTGAAAGTGTTTGAAATTCTTGGTCCCAGTGGAAGCCAATTAACAGACGATGTGGGCTCTCTTACGGAGCTGAACAGTGTTTACATTGTTCAGGAGTACATGGAGACAGACTTGGCTAATGTGCTGGAGCAGGGCCCTTTACTGGAAGAGCATGCCAGACTTTTCATGTATCAGCTGCTACGGGGGCTCAAGTATATTCACTCTGCAAATGTACTGCACAGAGATCTCAAACCAGCTAATCTTTTCATTAATACTGAAGACTTGGTGCTGAAGATAGGTGACTTTGGTCTTGCACGGATCATGGATCCTCATTATTCCCATAAGGTATGTAGAAAGCCAGCTGAGACAGACCTTTAAACTGATACACTTCATCAGGAATAGGTACTTGTATTTTCTTTGTAGATTGTGGCACAATGTTTAATCTTACTAAACTTTACATAGTGCCTTTTTTTCTGATGCAGATGTACTTTCCTTCACTGTCTCTCTGTTTGAAATGAAGGTGGAGGGGGATAATTAAATACAAATTTCTAAAAATAGATGGTTATTATAAGAAGTTCTAAAGTATGTGGTTATTTATTATAAATGAAATTCTCCCTTAGTTATTTAAAAGTGGAATATACTTTTTTCTCTTTGGGACAGAATTGTAAGAGGGGATGCTACTTTGACTTTTAGGTCTTTTGTTTGTTTTGTTTTCAAGACAGAGTTTCGCTCTGTCTCAAAGGCTGGTCTGCAGTGGTGCCATCTCGGCTCACTGCAACCTTCATCACCTGGGTTCAAGCAATGATTCAGTACCTCAGCCTCCCAAGTAGCTGGGATTACTGGTATGTGCCATCATGCTCAGCTAATTTTCTTCATGTTTTTAGTAGAGGTGGGGCTTCACCATGTTGGCCAAGCTGGTCTTGAACTCCTAGCCTCCAACGATCTGCCTGTCTCAGCCTCCCAAAATGCTAGGATTACATGTATTAGCAACCATGCACAGCCTTTTTTCTGATTTTTTTTTTTTTTTTTTTTTTTTTTTTTT